TTAAGGCTAATGTAATATACTTTATCATGGGAAAAAAATGTTGGACTTTATTTTGTCTTTATTTGAGTGGAACAAGGAAAATTTTTTCAATTTTTAAGGGTAATGCCTTCAATTAGATACGATTTGTGATCTTTTGACGTATTGTTGAAAGAAATCGGTCCAGTGATAGCTAAGAAAATGTGACAAGAAACAAATAAAACATATTATAGTAAAATTAATATCTTTTCAACTTCGCATCGAAGTTAAAACTTACTATCTGAGGCATCTTGATACTATATAGTTCCCCACTATCCCGAGTCCATTTTTAGTTTCCATGCGAAGCTGAAAAGGTATTAATTTTACTATTTAAAATTACAAATTTAAAAATTGCTTATTTTCGACATTTTCGACTTTTTCTTAAAACTCTCATAACTTTTTTAAAAATGACCAAATCAATATAACTTTTTTTTGATAGATGCATGATGTTTTGTTTGGTGAAAATGGCTACCGAATGCTATTTTTGTGTGAAAATTTTCGATTTGGTATTTTACATTTTTAACTTTATTGTGCTATAATTTATTGAAAAATGTACGGATCAATACAATTTTTTCATGAGAAGTAATATTTATATTTTTCTTTCATTCGACATACTATATCTTAATCAGGATATAAATAAGGAAATATCAGATCATGTAGCTTTTATAATAATCCATCAATTTTTTTAAATTAAATACTATCTAAAGTTTTGCATTGAAGCGTTTTTTATGATAGTGATTTTAATTACTGTCAGATATCATCATACTTGATTCAACTATGCCACGTCACCACTGTGCCGTGACCACCCTGTGCTGGGTTTTTTTTATTTTTATTGATTATTATTTTTATTTGTTTTTTTAAGGAGTCTACAATATTAATTTGTATTGGACCACAGATTGATAATTCAGAGTCTGTACTAAATACGCTATTGCCTTACACTAAATAATCGTTTCTATTCATAACAAAACAAAAATGTCTACGGTTGTAGCTAATTAAAACTTTGATTGACCATTTAGTTAAACGTCAGATTAACTCCGAGGTGTATTTATGGAGTCCGGATCCTCATGGATATATAATAATAGTACCGTGGCATAGTAGAAAGATTCATCACATTACTTCTCTACTACCTAAAAGATATCTGAATTCCATATAAAAAAATTTTAATTAAGCCACTGCACTAACTTAAAAATTGCATTATCGTTAATAGACATAGAGTAAAAAGTTACCAAGATACATAACTGTATGAACTACTAAGCAGGATCGTACTGGAAAGACGTAAATTATGTCAATTCTGTTAATTCGAAAAAAAGAAAAAATGAGCAAAAAAAAAAAAAAGACATAAATCAATTTTATAAACCGGATTACGTTGTTCATAACTACTCTCTTTGTTTTCTGTCACTAGGTACTATGCCTAGAACTTCCAAATTTGTTTTTTTGTTCTTCGCCTTTGCTAAAATAACATTGTAATTTGAATTTAAAAGGGACTAAAAAAAAACTTAATATTTATTAAACTAATTAATATTAGTACTCGGGGCTAACAAATAGTGTAATCTAGAATTGCCTGAATGAATCGATCTTTTTGAAACATTTAATAATTACCAAAAACGTTTTTGGGCTGATAAACATTTGTATAAAATATGTATTAAATTTAAGTTTAACTTAAATTAAATAATTAAGAATGATAAATGTTAAATAAAAAATTTCCTTGGTATTAAAAACCTTTAATCTTAGAAAGATTCTTATGGAAATGCCACAATAATTATATTTCATATATATATTGGAAACTAAATATAGAAAATGATATAAAGTAGACCCTCGTCCAGGCGCGGTTTTAGAAAAATTTTGGAAGTTCCTTTCACTATTTNTCCAGGCGCGGTTTTAGAAAAATCTTGGAAGTTCCTTTCACTATTTCTGTTAAAGTTGAGCAATTTTTTAATAATAAAACTTTGTTTTAAAAAATAATTCTAACTTTGAGGGGGTATTGTTCCCATCTTTCCCATATATGTCCGCTCAAGCTCTTATCTTAAAATTAAAATTTGTGGCTACATTCCTCCTTAGACGTAGTATTATTGATAGTTATGTTTAATCAATATAATAAAAGAAAAATAGAAATTAGTAATTAGTAATTAATAATTATAGTTTATATCAAAAAATTATATTTAAACGATAATTTAGGCTGTATAACGATTGAGAATATTTCATTGTTTTCTTGCTTTTGAAAATCAGAGATTTTATAATTAAACTGATATAAAATTAGAAAAACCAATAATCATGTTTTTAAGTTGTTTTAAAAAAACTAATTGTAAGAAAATTTGCAAATCTTATTAAATCCAATCGTTTCTTGTTTAATATAGATTATTTTTAAGGAAAATAAAAAGGGTATGACATTTTAATGAAAATAACCTGTTTTGAACATGCCTATGTACAAGTCTATGTAATGTCATAAATAATTTTATGGATCACATGCTATTGTAGTTCATTTTTAGAGTTTTTTTAGGTATCAAACTAAGTTTAAAGGAGGTTTGAATTTTGTATATCTTTAATGCTACCTAAATTTTTTATCTGGATCAAATTGTTGACCTTTTTTAACCCACTATATTGGGTCAGGTCATAAGTATATTTGCAAACCACGATTGTTAAATAAATTTAGTTGAATATAAAACAAGTCATTTCAGTTTTTTTCTGAAAATAAAATAAAACATAGTTTAAGAAATAATACATATATTATCTACTATAACGTTCATTACGATTTTAATATATGAGAAAAATATATTTTTATACAGAGTGTTCAGTAAGTAAGGAAACAGGTCAATTGTTCTAAACAATGAGAACAATAGAAATCTGTTTCATTACTTAATGAACAGTCTATATATTTGCAAAAGAAAATACAACATACTATGATAAGATCAATGTATTTTTCAATTCTCTTATCATCTAATAACATATAGTGTATTTATAAAAAAAAGCATTCTCTTTTTAATGTAATAATATTGTTTTAATAAATCGTATTTATATAAATATTTCTATTTTAATATGAAATTTTTTAAATAATAAAATTGAATTTATACATTAATTATTAGCTTATTAGTAGGGCTCAGGACTTACTAATAAAATATTAACTAGAACTTATAAACTATATAATTTAAACCACATTATATTTATTGTATCCATTATAACATGCACATAATAACGGAGTTAAACTTATAGTAAACATATAATATTAATAATATAATATTTTTAATCAAATTTCTGGCTGGGTTATTGAAGAATATGTATTTGCTTAAAAATTCAGACTTAAGTAATCATCTAAGGCATTAGAGGATAAATGTAATAACGCAGAATTTTAAGTACGATAATGTAAACCCTGCGTTTTGTAAATAAACTACTGACTTTTCTAGTCTAACCTATAGAAAGTTTGAAATTACTTAAGTTTTTTACAAAAAATTTATTAATATCAATAGGATTAATAATTTAATATGCTCTTTAAAATTTCTAAAGCATAAAGAAATGAACTTTTAATAGTTAAATATCAGATCAACTTGTTAGAAATATGACGTTATTTTATATCAGTTTAATTTAGTATTTGTCATGAGAGACGTGTACAAAAAACTATTTTCTTATACTTACGTGAGTTTTGTACAGCATCAAGTGCACAATGGGTTATTTTTTTTTGTATCAGGTATTACTAGAGTGCATTTTTTAAATTTAAATTAATTTTGCTAATTTTTTTAACTTTTTTAACTTTTGCTCATCACTTGTGCGAGAGTTCTTCGTTGCTTTAATGAGGCCTATTAAAACGGACAGAAGGATAACACTGAGAAATGTCGTTATCTTTGTGGTTCAACTCGTACCAATTTATTTTATAAATATGTACATTTTACGGAATAACCTTTTTTTTAAATGATTAGTTAAATATAAGAAATATGGTTGATATGGCATTTAAACTTAGTAAACAATTAGGGACCTTAACTTATTAAACCATCAAATTGTGCCTTTTAAATGACATTGATTAATAATTTCAAATAAATGTAATATTAAAATGATTTGGTATTCTAATTGATCCTTTTCAATTTGAAATCGCTATATGTATGTTATTTATAATCACAGTATATGTATACAGTGGTGTTTTGAGAGGTATACGTCGTATATCCACTAACAATTATTTAAATTAACATATATTTAAGAAAAATAATATTTATATTGAAGGGTAATATATTACGTATACGCTGATTTGTAATTATATACCCCCAAACACCCATGACTATACATTTTATTCAAAAAATTATAAAAACATTAATTTTCTTGATATAAATTGTATAAAAGTGCTAACTTTTTTATAAAAAATGCGACGAATTAAAAATGTAGTATTCAGATAAGAAACTGCAAACTTGTATTTGCAGTTTGTTAATTTAGTTGTTGTGGCATTACTACCCACGTGTTTGTAATGACATATTATGACAATCATGACATTACTATAAATTTAATTAATATTAAATTAGAAAGGAAGAACAAAACTAAATAGCACATTATAATGTAGACATTCTAAAAGTTTTTAAAATCATTTTTTGTGAAGTATTAACTCTATTGCACAAAATTTTACAATAAAAATATCTCTCCGATCCAGTAACACCAAAATTACAATTTTGTAAAATATGTCAGATATTTTATATTTTTTGCATAGTAAACTATTTTTTGAAGAAATGTTTATAAATTTTTAATTAAATTAATTTTCAATAAGTGAGACTAAAAAAATTACATAGAGAAGTTTGAATTTATTCATCTTCATTATTATTATGGAATTTGTCATAATTTAAAATTGACATTAATTTTTACTGAGTTAAAGGGAATCACCGTCATAAAAATCTTATAAAATGTGAAATTTAATAATTTAAAAGCACATATTGTTCTATAATACTTTAGATATAGTTTAACTATCCCGAGTTTCGTTTAAAAATAATATTTAAAATATACAAAACGCGTATAAATCTTATTAGTATATTCTATTTCAATCGATATAAAGTAATACAAGCAGTCCATTCATTAAAATACCATATGGGTTGTATCCTAAAATTCCAAAATAGTTTTTCAATTGATTATTTATATTAATTATTAGTATATTTTTATTATTTAATAATTTCAAAGGCTATGCTATGAAAATTCCATTTTTAAGAAAATCATATTTTTTAATTAAAAAAAAAAAACCTTGTAAATTAAGAACATGATTTCTCTTGATTCATTATTATTGTTTGTTTGCAGTCGCCGGCAGAAGCAGCTTCCCATTGGTCATTTGTTGGCGCGACGGTTACCTTGTTATAGATCCCGTTTGCCGCTCTTCTACCCCACCACTAAATATGCTGTACACATGTGCCTATGTTTCTTTATTTCGAATCTAACCGACATTCCTGATAATATCCGTCTATAACGATTGAGTGTTGTTTTCATTTTGGTCTTAACGATAATCCTTATGCAAAATGATTTCACTTTTACTAATTCTTCATCTATTTTAATGCAAAGTGTGATCAAAATAATTGTTATTATAATGAGTTATTAATCTTTGACCTTCATGTATACCGCCGCGATTTACGGTTCTACAATTAACCACCGCCGTCGTGTGTGTGACATTTATACGTAAATGGCTTTACGCTAATTGAAATTTCCGGACACCCCATACTTCAATTATAATAATTTATAATTCAATACTTATACACATAGTACATACAGGTAATAGTTCATTATTTAATTGTGTAATAATGTAATCTTGATCTTCTATATAGGGACATGCTGATTAATTGTTGTATCAATGGTTTTTTATAACACTAATCGTTTAAAATGTGATATTATTTATTATACAATCGTAGTATATTGTATTTGATGACGATCATTTACTAACAATTAACATTTACCCTAACGAATTAATAATTGACTATACTTATAGATATCAGTAGGTTAATTTTAATCAAAATTAATAATTTTAGTTTTGATAGAAGTAAATAAATATAAAAATATGTAATTATTTGATTTCATCTTAACTATTTTTTTTTTATAATTGTGTAAAGTATTGAAATCAGATTTTTCATAAATGTAATAATATAAAATTAATTATGTAGTATTTTAATAAGTATAATGAATTTCAACATTTTTCATTTTGCATTAATAACTATTTAATAAAGTATTTTGGGTGAAAGTATCAACATTTTAATTGAAAAAGTGTAATTATGGATTGAGTTCAGTTTAAATTTAATTACATATTTATTTTTTCTTGATTAATTATTGAACATTTTAGCAATTTTATTTATTTTTAATTTCATAGTCAAAAAATTTAATTTATATTTATTAGAAAAAAAGTAATGTAGAAACTATATAACTAGTAATTTTTAGTGTCTGAACTGAGAATTATAAGTTTTATTGTTTCTCATCATATAATATTATATTTTAATAAGTATATTATAGGAAGATAACTTATTCAATAGTTTATTTGTTTGATATGAGTATTATTATATTAAGTTTTTTTGGCAATATGATATTAAGTTATCAAAGATCAAATTATTATGGTTAAGCTTGACCCCTTTTTAAAGGTTTTAGTGGACTTTGTATTATGTTTACATTATTTCCACTTGATTGACTATTTAAAATATATGTACTTTATTAAGCATTATTATTAAATTTGTTAATGACAAATCTTTATTTTCAATATTTATATTCAGTTATTACATATATATTGTTTCTTTTTTCAGAATATTATTAAAAACAATGGCTGATCTTTCCATTAAAGAAAGTCCATATCATTGTGACAAGTATAAGTCATTTTTATTCACATCAACCCCATTTAAAAGTATTGACGATAGTGGATATGATACTTCAAGTTCAACTATAAACGGTGTTACTTCTAATATGAGTAATTTATCTGATGGATCTATTAATTTGGACCCAACAATAAATGATCACTCAAAATTTCAGTCGTGTTCTGATATATCTTGCATCAAGAAAAATGCAAACCAAAAAAAAGATAGCGTTTGTTGTACAGATTGTAAAGTTTTTAACAAATTACCCCAGCAACTTGAAATTTCTTCAGATCTTTCTCCTTCAAAAAAATTCAAATTTTCCTCAGATTTGAGGATGCGATTTCAGTTAAATAAGAGAGTAAAAAAAGAGAAATGTAGACCAAATAGAAAAATGTATTATTTACATAATAACATTAACCATGAGCGAATTTCTTTAGAAGATCGAAAAAATGTTGATATTATGTATTTTTTATCAGAACGTCATCATTTTGGTCCAGTTATAGAAAAAATATTTTCTTTTTTATCCGATTGTGATATTGTATCAGTATCTTTGGTATCAAAAGTTTGGAATAATGCTGTAAAAAATTCACTAATTGCAAATAAAAAGATGGAAAAGTATTTTAAATTATCTAAAGAAAACAGAGAATGTGAAAGGAAAGATCGAACATCTGGTTATAATAAAGGGTGTTTAACTAATATTGAAAATGTTATGCGTTCTCCTGTTAAAAGAGATTTAGTTTTAAAAAGTCCACCTGTCAGTCCTAGTAAATATAGATGGCATGTTTTTCAAAAGGTAAGATTATTTTGAAAATAAAATAATAGTTATTATAGTTTAATATATATTTTTTAATAAACTGAACTATATGGCTTTTTTAAAAGCAAAAAGATTGAGTTTTGAAATTATTTATCAGATGCATATTTAGACATTTTAAATGGAAGGCTAAAGAAATTTTCATTATAATTTTATGATAAATATCATTTATCATTTATTTTTTTCAAAATCTTTCTAGTAGAAACATTGTCAGTCAAAAATTTAGTGGTCACATGAATTTCAGGGGTTCACACCCCTTAAACCACTTTATTAATATGACTCTGTTATTTATGATAAGTATTTAGATTGTTATGTGGCAGATAATAACAAGTTTGTTTATAAGACTTCAAAAATATTGATCATCATTAATTACTAAAAAACATACTCAAGTGTTAAGGAAATATTTTTAAGGTTATCTTGGTACACTTTTATTAAGCACATTTTAAATGTCAAAATTAGAGCTTTTGTGTGAAATATTATTTAGTTAAATTTATGATAATTTATTTAGGAAGCAAGAAAGTTAAATTCTGACCAGCGCCTTATTCATTGTCCATTGTGCAGAATGCCTTCTTCGTGGTCTCCTACTCAATCAACTAGAGCACAGTGTCATGGTATACATTGTGGTTACACATTTTGTACAAGTTGTATGTGTGAATATTCTAATTATTCAGAACATAAATGCCGATCTGTCCCAATATCATCAAATACTCGACGATCCCTGATATCAAGTATATCTAAGAGCAAACATAACTTACGAAGGTTGTAATGATTAGAAAATAGTTAAAGTAATTTATTGTTAGTTTAATACCCATGATACCTCAGTATTGTTTTTCCATGTTAACTGTTTCAATAATACATATTTTCTGAAGTTTTATTCAGCAATTTATGTTAATGTTGCCAATTATAATTGGTTAATTGAAGTATAATCTTTTAAATAATTTTACTGAAAAAGTTTTTAATTAATTTTTTATCTTCTAGTTCTAGTTAATTTTTTTGAAACATTACTATTAATTTATTTTTTTTAATGTACATATTTTCATGTGAATAACATTGAAAAATTGCTCAAAAACAAAATTTAATATAAGTTTTTGAATATAAATTGCATTCTGACTGAATAAAACAAAAATGTTACCAGTGTATTTAAGTTTATACTATGGTAAGAATATATTTTTATTATTTTTTAATTGTAATGTACAAATTATTAATTAGCTCTCTGTATTATTTAGTATACATTTTTTTACTTTGTTTTATTATTTGATAAAGTCTACTTAATTTTTCACTAACGATTTCAAACTTTTATTTCATTTTTTTGTTATGTGAATTATAAAAGTTAAGAAATTATATTTTTGTTTAATTTTTACTAAATCTATTTAATTAAAAAAGAGAACTTCTGATTAATATAAAAAGAAATTGTATGCAAAAATTTTATTATTTATATGAATCTCAATTTATTTTTGCAACTTATATTAGTGACTTAATAGTTTTCCATTGCAACATTGTGTTTGACTGATTTAATTTGTATTCATTGTTTGAAGTGAACTTAATTGATTGTCTCTTTTTATTTCAATTATTTTTGCTACATTCCAACTATTTGCTCAAAATTTTTTGTTACATGTTAAAGTAGTTATTTACTTTTTTCTTCTTAATGATAAGAATTTATTATTTCTATTTATTCCATTATCTACTTAAATTAATTTGATTTATATATAATTCAAGTGTTTGAAAAAAATTAAGAATTTTATTATATTTGTTCCATTATATTGTCTTGTAAATTTTAAATATAAATGACAAGAATTTTATTAGATGCATTGTGTATTTTTTTAGGAACAACTATATAATAATATGCATTATATTAAGAATTAAATAGCTTTATCACAATTAATTTATCTGAAGTATTACTTGTAGATAGAATAATAAACAAAATTTCATTAACTCCTATTAATATTACAAATCAATGAAATATTGCTACAAAATATTTTTTTTACTTACTATATACATGCATTAATTTTGATCCTAATTTAAATTTTTTTTGTGTACATAAAAGTTAATTGCCTACAAATTAAATTTAAAAATAAGTAAATAGGTAAACGTGGATTACTATTAATATAACTCGCAGTAAGCTCATTTTAAATAAATCCCTCATGAATGTTTGATTATATACAAAAACATTCGAGAGATCAATTTAATATCTTCAAAACTTTGTCTGATCGCTATTCCAAAGTGTAAATAAGCAAATAAGCTGCCAACTTATCTGATCCAATTGACGATAATGACTTAAAATGAATTATATTTTTCATATTATATCCTTCATAGATCATGATTCACCTGGTATATCCAAGTAGGTATTTTGGTATTTGATATGTATAGTGTGGTATAGACATAATAACTGACATCCTGACAAATAAAAATATTTTTTGTAAAAAAATTAACTTAAAAATTTTTTTTATTTTTAAATTAAACTATTTACTGATTATGACTATAGTTTCTATAAAATAAAGGCATAGTTGAATTAAAGAAAAAATTTTAAGGCAACTAATGAAATTCAAATATTTCTCATTCCTGCCTAATTAATACACCACACTGCTTAACAATTTTGACTATAACTATGCTTAGCCAGTTTTATAAATTATAAAAAAAAATGTATCTTATTTTTGTTTATAAAACGAACAAATATTAATTTATATTGTTTAATTCAGTTTCTTAGTAGGACGGTTTCTCAAAAATTAAGTTTTGAAATTCAATCAATACACCTCCAAGGAATTGTTCCAAAAGGTGAACAAATAATTTTTACGCAATTTGTTTGAAATTGAGTGAGGTTAATACGTGACGTAAGAGGGTTGACAATTTGACTGTAAGAGTGGTTTTTTGAGTTCGTCATTTATCTTATAAACTACACTGTTTATAACAAAAATGATAAAACTTAATTTATAGGACTAAATGTTTGCTGTAAAAAATGTTATTAGAAAGAAGCCGTACCTATAATTTATATTAGACATTAAAATTAAAAAAACAAGATATTTTTACTTAATCCATGAAATTGATTTTACTCGATTATTTAAATATTGCAGCAAACTATTAAACTTAAAAAATTTTTATATAGAAATTGTTCATAATTTAATTTTTATTATTTTTGTTGTGCTTTTTTTTTTTTTTACCATACATAGTACAAATATTTCGAGTATTAATGTGCGAAATTTTTTTTATACAATTGCAGAACAAAGAGACACGAAACAAATTAATTATTTTTAATTAAGTAGTTTTACGTTACTAAAGATAATGTTAAACCAAAATTTAGGTATGTTTTAGGTTTTTTTTCTTGGGAGAAAGTTTAACTGAGAATTCCCCAATTAATACGTCTAAAGATTATAATAAGTCAAATAATACTAGTTAATAAATTTTTTTGTTTTATAATGTATGCTAATAAATAAATGCTTGTTTATTTTATTTTCATCATAAGGAAGTGTTATAAATATCTTCTGGTTTATCTGTCTAATCTCTACTTATTAGTTTATAAGTCTAGGATCATTGAGATAAATTTGCATAGGGATATTATTTTATAAATGACCAATTATTTGAGAAACAACACAGAAGAATACAAGACAAAATGGGATAACGCGTTATCTCAAAACTTAGGGTTTAACTAAATATTATAAGACTCTTAAAACGTTTCGTTAATGTTGAATTTATAATTTATGTCAAAATATCGTCAATTAGTCGTGCATTAATATACCACCGGAAATCTTGTGTTATAAAAAATTGCGTTATTAGTCCAAAATTTTCATATGCGCATTTCTCGGTGAAAATAAGATCATTTTATTTTATTATTTTTTTCAATTTGACATATCTCACAGAATAATTGTTTTGGTAGTCAGTGCCACTCTACATATCAATTGTAACTTTAAAACACTATTTTTCACAAGCTTAATAATTTATTAAATAAGTGGTTCAAATATTTGCTTGTTTATTGTAAGTTTTTAATACGTATTATTAATTTTAATTGTATAAAATTTAATTATTTAACAAAATTTTCATTAATAATAAAATTAAGGCCACTCACCATTATTGTATTAATAATAATCTGTACTTGATGGTTGAATGTATTTAGAGAAATGAAATATATACATTGCGATAGACAGACTACCGTCACCATATTGCCATTCTTTGAAATATTAAGAAATGAATTAATAGTTTTTAAATAAGATTGTATTATTTTAAAGTGGTTATATATATTGAATAGCTGTTAGGTTATAAGTAATAAGAATGAATTATTTTGTGTTAATCAATAAAAGTGCATAAGCGTTTTAGCAGTTATTCAGGTAAAATAAAAAAGGAACATACGATGCAGTAAATCCGTTATACAACCATGTACGCCAGCCTACTCTAGTGCCACGGTCAATACGAGACTCTATTTCTTGGCATAGGGTTTTACGGTCATGAGAGCGGCCAGACCGAAGATCACAAATCATTCGTTTTTTACATTCTGCGTCGCATAATGGCCGTGTCGGTGAATTCTTCCAATAATGTCTATAAGAAAAATAACATAAATTTAATAATATTTTATATTTTTAAACTAAACGATTTACTTGTAATATAAATCAAATGCGGCTTGATCGTCGGTTAATTTGTTAATGAATGTATCCCAGTCTTGAGGTGAAAGCGATGGCAAGTTGTAAGTTGATCTAGTTGAGTACAGTTTTTGCCATATAGGATAATCATACAAATTTGCTTCTTTTAAATTCATGACCCACGTTTCGTGATCTAGCACTGCCTATTAGAGGATTTAGCCTTATGTAATCTTACAATAGTATTAACAATATCTTAAAATCAATATTTATTTAATATTACTCTAGTTGAATGATCTCGATCACCATCTACATAATATATTCGGTAGCCAGGATTTAAATCTGAATATGGCGTTACTGATGGTCCAACATATGCTATGCTGACCGGTCTGCCAAGATCTTGGGTATCATAGAAAATTTCAAACTCGTCAAAATGTGTATGTCCAAAAAATTGAGCTGCTATTGTACTTTCATACCTAATAAAAGAAAAACAATAGATAATATAGACATCAGTCATGATTTGATTTTGTGTGGCGTAGTTACAGGTATGGATTGGATAGTATGTCATCCCTAGTGATATCTTGTACCTTCTCAAAAAAATAACTATAGCATTAAAAATGTATTATGGGGATATTTCTTTCGCGTAACCCTCATAAAAGGCTTTGCATACATTAACATATTTCTATTGAAAAGAGTATGTTGAATTCTATTAACAAAATATCGAAAAATTCCATTTTCAATGCTATAGTTATTATTCTATCTAGTATATTTATAGTTAACCTTAGTCTTACTAAATTTAGAGAACTTAGAATAAAAATTAAAAATAGATTTACAAATTTATCTAATGATACCTGGAAATTATTGCGTAGTAGTTTCGACTCCAGACTTTCAAGCAGTCTGGATGACCTGGAGGTATGTGTCCGAGCACATGCACTTTTTCTCCATTAAATTCAGCGTTTTGTAATTCGTATATGAACCACTGTAGTTCTTTAACGGGGTCAGTACTGTTAAGTAATAACCACCAATTTTTGTTATTGCAATAATTCATGTTAAGAGAGATGATTCGAAAACCTGGTCGAACAAGTACGCTATAAAAAGCACCTCGTTTTATAGTTCTGCTAACTGAACTCGGTAACCAGCGGCGCCACTGGGTATCTAGTTCACTGTACAACCAGTCGATGGCATATTCTGGTATATTTACGACAGAGCTTGGAGGAAAGCTGAAATATTAAAATAATTTTTAACTTTAATTTCATTCATATTTAAATAGTAAAAAGGTATCAATTTTCTTTTACCTATTTACCGGCACGGCTTCGTGATTACCAAGTGCTGGAAATATAGGAATTCCTGGAAACATGTTTAACAACTGTGCAACTGTTTCTTTTAATATTGCTAAGTTTTCCTCTCTAGTTTGATTCCAAATATCATGTGCTGGCAAGTCACCCGTCCAAATTATGTAGTCAATGTCCTTAAATTATATATTAAATCACATTATACAAACAGTCAATACGTTAAATAATTGTAGTAATTAAATGTTTTTTAATTATATTTACAGCGTGATTTGTGGCAATGTGTTGTAACATACTGTCCACTGTACGTTTTGGAGTGTCGCATTTTCTATAATCTCCCCATCTTCCAGCTCGTGCTTGAGTAGTAGCTGCTGGTCCGTTGGTTAATCGACAGCAAAGAGGTTCATTACATTCAGCATTTGTGCCTTCTTCATAGTACGGATCAAAATGTGTATCTGATAGATGTAGTACTTTAAATTGAGGTATAGGTTCCTAGAAATCAACAAGTAAATGTATTTTTTTGAGTAAATAAGTGAAAGAGCAAATAAAAATCATTTTTAGTTACTTGTTCTGATAACACATATTGTTGCCTTATGTCAAAAGTTACGAAAATTATTAAGTGAGATAACATGTATAAATACTTGTAAATACTCCATATATATATATATATATAGTTGAAGTTTCTAATTGATAAAATAATAGTTAAAAAGTTAAGTAATCTATTTTTTAAATTAAATAATTGTTGTATTTTAATAAATGTATTAATAAGTTGTAAGTAATTTATCTCATTGAAATATTGGAAATAAAACAAGAACAAAACATAAATTAATCAATTGGAACAGCAGTAAAGTAATAAGATTTATAACACTTGGTCAATTATGACAATGATATGAATTTATATAATTAAATTTTTAGAAGAGATTTCTAAAACTAATGTACTAGACGAAGATTTTTGTCACTGCAAAACCAAAGTGAGAAATGATAAGCAGCTGTTAATGACAAAAAAGTTCATCGAACATTTTTGATGAAAGCCCCTTGTACTTAATTGTGGTCCAGATTTTTACTATATATAATTGATTACTGAATAACGTGCTCAATTTTATTTTAGACAAATATTAAGCCTTATATTAAATTGTATCGTTAAAGTTTTCTTTTAGTTCAGATCTTAATTAGAAAGCTTAATTAGAGATTTACACGGTAGTCCACCTGATCAATTTAACTTTAAGGATGGTAACTCATAATTAAAGAGGTTTAGGAAAGATTGAGACACAATTGAATACGGCAATATACAATTGTTAATTTTAACAATAGTTACTTTCGGAATTATTGGTTCTATTGGAGATGGTTTGGGTACTGGTGGAAAAACTACATCCCAGTCGTGTGTTGGATTATAGACATCCCCACAGGCATCACCAATGACAAAACTGCATATTTCTTCAGGACCTATTGATATTCTTTTGAGAACGTAAACTACTTCTCCCTAAAAATAATGACATTCCATTACATTTAACTATTTACTAAAATAATAATTTTAATATTTACACTAAACAATTCAGTAATGCCTTCGCAAACACGAGGGGTTTGTAATTTGAAACTAATACAAAATTGGTAAGTAATCTTAACAATATCATCACGCGTTTTTCCAGATCGTATATAATTTTGTAATAAACTAGCACCAGCTTTGCAAGCTGTGCAAGACATTTTTGACATGACGCTTGTCTCTACTTCACCAACTACTTGATTCATATTAAGTAATTGAAGAGCTTTATCGACAAACCTTGGTAGGACTACTCTAGCTGCTCTACCATCGTCTTTAGCCTCTTTATCATCTGCCTCGTAGAAGTACTTACTGTAATTTGCCTAGAAAAAATGTTTAAAAATTAGACATTAAAGCAAAAATAAGTTAAAATGTTGTGTTCTATTATAATTAGTGAATTTATTAAATTACATTATTTTATTTTACTTATATTAGATTTATGTCGGAAAGGACACCTTATTAGTTTTAATCTAAGTTTTAGCTTATGTATTACAAAATTGAATAATCTTTTAATACTATCAATGATTTTTTTTAACCTTTATTCTCTAGCAGAGCAACTAATTAACCACCAAAGAGAAGGATGGGGAGTCAGTTCTTGATGGGTTCTAAGTTTATTAACCATAAGCACTCAATAACTATCTAAGTTAATTTTATATAAAAATATCTTGTTTGGGTATGGAAAAAATTCTAATTAGGTTAACAGTAAACTTTCAATTATTTTAATTACTTATAATATTTATGGTTAATTAACTTGAAGATTTTTTTGGATTTATTAATTGAAATAGTAGAAGGGAAACTAAATGTTGGAATTTATCGGAAAAACATACGTAGGTTCAGGTGTATTTCGAACAATTCGAACCACAGCTGGTATATTTTAATAGTATGGTTTTTAGATTAGTTAATATTCCAATAAATAAAATAGATTTTAATAGAAAATTGGGGTTTATAAGAGAAATAGTAAGATTTAATGAGTATAACGAAAACGTAATTTCAAAATTAGTCCGACACACAAAAGTGTAATAAAGAAGAGAGGGCAGCTAGTACAGTCACTAACGTGGAGGAACAAATGGTAATTGGGTCGTCCATTTTATGTTATTCGGGCATTTTAAACGGACTACCTAGAATTTTTATACTACTAAAGTAACTTTTAAAAGTAATAATTTAAGTGATTTATTAGGTAGAGAAAAAGTAAAAGAAGAGAAGAAATCGGTTACTTATAAAATACAATGAGAAAGTTGTAATAAATGTTACGTAAGACAAACATAAAGAAATATAAGGTTTAATAAACTCTTAAGAAACTTTAAAAATCAAGAAGATGATAAATAACCTGTGTTTGAACATTTATTAAAGTATAATAATTCCATTAAAACCATAAAACTAATTAAATACGTAAATAATTACAAAGAACTTAATATAAGGAGGCAATATAAATGTTAAAAAATAAGAATAATATAATTAAATGGGGTCTTGGCCTTCTGAAAAGTTCAATATTAAAGTTGTGCCAATTTTCGAAATGTGCTAATATTGCTTAGTGATAAGGCCACTGGAGGTATATAAGGGGGTAAATTAGGTCAGTGTGTCATTAGCGATGATAATGGTAACATAGTTCTCGAAATACGTATCCGCGATTTATTTTTCTAAATGGTTTTTGTTGTATTTGAGTCAAATATTCTTTAGATTTTTTTAGATTTTAATAATTAATCTTGATTTCAAATAAAATTAGGCACAAGTGATTAATTTTTTATTATATTTCTATTTTGTATGGAATAAAATTCCGACAGGTGGCATCAAATTTGAAAGTTTAAATAACAAGGACACCCTAATATGCTCAGTAGTTTTCAACAATTTCGGATAGGCGTTCTGGTCGTATACAAATTTCTCAAAACGAGTTTCATACAATTTGAGGGTAATTCTCGATTAAGTTATCACGTAGTCACTTAAAATGTGATATTGTAATTTTTCGTGAAAATTTACATAATTATTCTAATAATTGATAAGACATGATACGAAAAAATGTTTTATACATAATATGCAATAAATTATTAATATTTTTAATTAATTTTCTTATGTGTTTTGTCAGTATATAATAATGAAAGCTACAATAATCTGCGTCCTTTTGCTAACTACTAAAATAGATTCGTTTGAAAGTTAATTAAAATAAATTTAAAAACGTGTAATTTGGTATGTTACTTTAAACTTTATATTCCCCCCAACTATCTTTTAATGAAAAAATAAAAATAATACATTTTGGATTCTGAGACACTAAAAACATATATTTTGACATTTTAACAAGTAGTTTTCATAAAAATTTAGGCTGTATTAATTTGTTCAGTTTTTGAATTTTCACTTACTGAGCAGTGCACTTACCACTATTGTGTACTAAACAATCGATATAAAAAGTATTAATTGCACAGAAAGTTCTAAATATTTTATCTCTGAATATTGAATTGTTTGTTAATAGAACTAGTTACTTTTAAAATTTCAAACTGTCTCATTGTTTCGTTTTCTATTTTTTCTAAGTCTACGGAAGAATGGCGTTCTGTCTGATTGACTAAAATCAATGGTTGTTGATCGGAATCAGCACTCAAAAGTATTATGTCTTCCCATATAGACATATTATGTGTGTTCCATTTGGACGAAAAAGCATTTTGTTTTTCTATTGGTATTCCTAAATAAAATATTTATATTTTAAATGTATATAACCAATAGTGTAATTTGCAATGGAGATGGCGGAGTCTCCATTGACACATTGTAACATCTATAAATAATTTTATTTTTATATAAAAGGGAAAAAGAAAATGCAATAATAGAGAATTTCTCCATTATGTCTACTATTTAAAATTATGAACAATGAATATGGGGCCATAGTCTATACAGACAATTTTTTCAAAAGTTTACGCTTATCTATGCTACTAGACTTATATATCAAAAATTATAATAAATTAAATTTTAAAGATTTATATTTTTTAAATTAGTTAAATATTTTTACCAGTTATGTAAATTGTAAGTATTGTGAGAAATATAACGGTTTGTTGTGGCCATGATATGAGTAGACTGAACAGCATAATACGTCAAGGGTCTGTAAAAAAAAGGACAGTTTTAATAAGTTTGAACACTTAAAAGAATAATTTTAAATTAACTATGTATAAAATATTTTAAATAAATAACTTCAATACGAATTAAAAAAACGCATTATCTATTAAATTTAATCTAATAAAAATATTGACATACTAATTTTTATTGATTACTATGAAAGGCGCAGATATACAGAGTGAAAGAAGTCTGACTGACACTCTTATAACTTTTAGTTCAATAATCATTTCGAGGTCATTTTTTTCTCTCTTAGATCATATTAATAGCACATATTTATTATTTACTTTTAATAATAATAAAAATATATTATTTCATTTTTTAATATTTCAAAATAGTTTATTTTTAGAGATAACCTTTTAAAAATTTTTAATGAATTAATAAAAAATATGACAAGTTCTTATTGAGTTACAGGCAATTTAATATATAGAGTAGGTATGTGGCCTGGGTGGAGGGTATAGCTCGTACTGGTGTAAATTTATAATGCTTAATCAACTCACTATACACACCTACTCCATGTATTTAAATGCTTGTAACTCAGTCATTTCTGGTGCTAAAATTGTAAACGGCACATTAACCTTTTTGTAAGGAAAATGCTAAAAATAGCTATTTTAAAAAAATTTAAAAATAAAATTTTTTTTACAATTATTATTAAATACAACATAGTCTAAATATACAAAAATGAGTATGTAAAAAAAAAGATTGCAGCAAAATTTTAATTATATTATAAGAACATATCAAGCTGACGTTTTTATACGTCAGCTTGATATGTTCCACTCTGTATATACACTAACATGTTTCTTAAAATTATCTTTATTTATCAGAATTAAAGTTTAACCTTTGATAATATTAAAATTTAGTATTACTATAAAAGTAACTTATAAATTAAACCTTTGTTTCTTTGTAAATAAGATAAAATATTAAAAATAAGACAAAGTTTAGACTTAAATGCATTAAATATAAAATATAACAAATACTAGATAGTATAGATTGTAAGTATATGCAGTTTATATTTTTAGACTGAGTTGAATTATACGATTTATAAAGACATTTATAAAAATAGGCCGAGTTGAATGATTATAGAAAAGTAAATATGATTTTGTGAGAAAAAGTATGTAATAGAAAACATAAGGAGTTACGACAGAACATAGAGGAGTAGCGTCGATTTTGGTTAAGATGACAGAAAATAACGTTCGATGGTTTGGTCATATTATGAGGATTAAGAAATCGGTAACTGTAAGAACAGTTATGGAAATAAATGTTGAAGATGATCTAAAAAGAGGAGATTGGATGTAATTGGGGTTGATATAAAGACTGTTGGTGTGTATATAGATGAAAAGGGAGATTGTGTTAATTGGAGGTGTAGGATATGGATGGCCAACACCAAGTAGTTAGAATAAAGGCAAGCGAGAAGAACATCAAGACAATTATCAATCACAAGGTTTTATGTAATATTTTTAATGAAAATAAAAATTTCTGATTGTATCTAAAATGTTTTTTATAATTTATTTATTATTCACTGATTGATAAATATTAAAAGTGGAGGAATTGTAATCCAAGTCAATAAATAAGGTTTTAGAAATTTTAAATTAAAAAATTATAATTTTAAGTGATATGTTATTTAATGTATTATTTTTGACTTAATTCGTAAAAAAAAAAATTGTATTATGGGAATATAATAAAAATAAAACTGTTATCAGTTAATTGGTGACAGAGAAGATCGTTTAGAACTTATTTATATTAATTATTGATCATAATATTATTAATACGAATTTGTTTCGTAGCTTTATATGTAATTTAAGAAGTTTTAAATTATTTTAAAGCAATGACTGGATACTTATGTCGTATGTTATTATTATTTATTGCTATTATAATTTTTAAATATGTTAGTGATGAACTAACATGCAATTAAATTATTATTCAATGTGCGATTATTTGATTTTAATGATTTCAATCATTAAAACATTAGATTATCTAATATTTTCAAATCTATACGCACTGTTAAAAAATGTTGGCGTCTATACAGTTTAAACTGCAGTCCAGCAAAAATCAACTGTATTTATAAAAAAATGTATTTTAACATTGTTAAAAAAAGACCGTATTGTTTTAGATTTGAAGGAAGTATCATGTTATTATTCATGTTACGTATGCCATTAATTGACGTTGTAAACAATACAGCATAATAAAAATGTAATTATTGCATTACAGAGATCTCACATTTCTTAAACGGATATGGATCTCTTCAAAATTTATGCAATTCACACATAACTAGAAGGTTCAAGTAAATAATTTAATAAATATATGAACAGTGTTGAATCATTAAATTATAATTACTTAATTACACGGAGAAATACGAAACTCGTGTTTTGATTCGGTAATTTGAGTACACTTACCAAAATGTCTGATAATTTGCACTCGCATATTTAGTATAAGCCATTGACATCCAATCATTAGTATAAAAATAAAAAAAAATTACAGGCGCCACTGCTTTACTCAGCTTCGTGTTCAAAAATTAACATATCTATGTCTAATGTTTGGATGCGTTTAAAATTAATTATAATACTATGTTAATATTTGAATAAAGTATTAAAATTGTTAGTTATAAATTATTTTTCTTGAAAATAGAAATAAATTATATTCTCTACCTCGTACCAAATCATGCCGTGGTCATTGACATGAACGATGTAATAATAAAATGAAAATATTATTCTTAAATAAATTTAAATACTAAATATTCATTATTCTTTGTTCGAATTTGTTTTTAAAGAAGACGTGCATTAATATGCATTTTAATGCAAAAAAATGTATGTATTGCTTATGAAAAAAATTGTTTGAAAATTGGCATCAACTATATATTGCATATGACTGTTTACTACTATTTGAACTATAATTTGCATAAGAAAAATAGAGCCAATGTTGAAAAAATATATTTATATATGTAAAAACACATTATGACAAATAAATATTGAGTAATTATATTATATTGAAGAGGATGTGTTAGTTAAAATCTATTTAATTTATATTTCAAAACATGTTCATTCAAACCGGAATTGCGTTGTGATGATAATAATGAAGTCTTCATTCGGCATTATTAAAAGTTCTCATTTATATTATATAATTTTTTTGTTTATAGTTTTTATTTTTTTAATTAAGTACGTACATTTTCAGTGTTGCCTTTATAAAATTAAACATTTAAAAAAATGTTATTTGTATATAAATTTGAGTAATCCATTAGTAAAAAGATAACTTATATTCAAGTGAATATTATTCTTTTGAAAATAAATGTCCAATAGCTCTTTTATTTTGCTTATAATCAGTTTCAAATTTAGCATCTGCGAGCAAAGTAAATTTTAAATCTCCTGTATACTATTTTAAGAGGAAAATGTTAAACAATAAATAACCACACCCTAAAAAGCCGTTCCAGGCTCTTACCTATTTATTCTACCTCTAAATACACTGTTTCTAATATAAAATTAAATGTTAAGAAAATATATCAATTCTACTAGTTAATACTATTTGGTTATAATTAACCGTTCTTAAAACTAGCGTGTAGACGTACATATTTATACTGATACGTCATCACTGTAATATATAGTAACCTATGACGTATCTAATCAATGTAATTAATTAACAGTTTCTGACGAGTGGCAATCGTTATTTTACCGTTAATCTCATATATTTTTCAAATAATTTTTATTTTAAAATAATTGTAATAGATTTCATTAACATTTATTGATAAACAAGTTTATTTATTTCGTATTAGTTGTAAAGATTAACATGTGTAAATAAGATACTTAAATAAAACTTAGTATCCAGGAAGAGAGTTAAAATTATGTTATCTATTTAAATGGATTTAAAATGACTATGATAGGCTATTGTAGCGTGATTTGAGGTCAAGGAATCTTTTTAATCATCACATGTATAGTATCTCGTACAGCCTTATAACCTGTAATATAACGCCAAGAGAGATAAGTAACTCACAAGTTAAGGGCTAAAATGTCAGTAGGGATTGATATTGTTTAGATTAATATATATTTTCTTATTTCATAAATTTAAGTATTTATATTGATGTGTAAGTTTTTAGCTGCAGTAACATTCAACGAATGAATGTAAAAAGAGAATTAAACAACATTTAATGATAATTTTAAACTCTTAAATAATTTTATTAATATATAAATTCAATACATTTATCAGAAACAAATTCACGATTATTCTTATACACGATATACATAAGAACAATTATTTATTCCTCTCAAATTGCACTAAAATCTTAATTTTTTGAACTTATAAGGTAATAGTAATCCGAATATAATCGTAAATATTTATTTAAAAATCATTATCATTCATTGGTTTCTTATCAATAATAATCACCAAAACAATACATTACAGTCCATGATAATATTCTTTAAAACCACCTTAAGTCTAACTTAATAAGTTATTTATTTTTAATAAAACAGTAGGTGTAATTAGTATTTATCAAGATAAGACGTTAAATAAATCATGTTTCAAATATTAAATTATAGATCTGAAAGGTAAAAAATGATACAATTTGACGATCAATATTCGTTAACCGCTCTGAGATACATTTAATATTTTTCAAACGTTTTAGAATTCTTATTTTTAGTTCTATATCACATGTTGCCAAATATTGAATCGTCATAACTATATTATAAATCATAAAATCAAAAATATAAATTTATATTTCCATCCTTTTTTCCGTTTAGTGATCAATTACATATTTAATTAGATCAATTGTGAAAGTTCGATAAACTCGGGGATCGCAATTTAACTATTTAAAAATTTAACGCATTGAACATTTTTTAGTTAAGAATAGTTACTTATTATGTTGTATTTTCACTTAAAATAATCGATTACAAATTTTACTGGAATGCATGAGTGAAAAAAATGATAGTTCTAATTACATTGAACTTGAAAAATAAAAAGGTATCACACTCCACTTGTTTAAACTTGCTTAGTATTTATAATTAT